CAGGCACCAATTTATGACCAATATTTTTCTTGGCATAAAAGCTACTGAGCTAAAGATTTGATTTCCAAACGGGAACTCTGGGGAACCACACCAAAACAGCCTCTGGAAAGAAACCACGCAACCAAAGAGTCTTCAGCACTTCAAAAACTTCACTGCAAGCTAAAAGAGATTAATTCTGAAAAGCTAACTGGTGTTTACTTTGCCCTTTTTGATGGTTCCTTTTAGTAGGCTAACATTTGGTGAGAAAGTGTCAGACTTGGTTTTATTTCGAGGCCTGCTGCTTCCCCACAGACCGGGGACTCTTCGAGGAGACCCCCCCCTTGCTGAACAGACTGATGACTGACCTGGAAGTGTGCCTTGTTCCATGGGGCCATCAAACATTTATTCATCTCATAAGCTGCTGCCAACAGCCTCACTCACAGCCGTGGGCACTGCAGTGAAGGGCGGCCAGGCTTACAGTTATGACTGTATGGTAATAAGTCATATAAAAGATAATTCTGTGAATTTATGTGCATTTCTGTTTCATTGTGTCAACAACACAAGCAAGCATGAAAGTGTGTGTGTGTGTGTGTGTGTGTGTGTGTGTGTGTGTGTGTGTGTGTGTGTGTGTGTGTGTGTGTGTACGTATTATGGAATGCAGTGGTGAGGAGTTTTTACTCCTGGATGGAAGACTGTCTTGCACCATAAATCTGCCACTCATTGGGAAGACAAAATGAGAATGGCCCCGTCATAAAACATCTGTAATAGCTCCATCCACCACCAACACATAATGGGGCAATTACCAAGAAGGGGGCTGGGACAGCATGAAGCCTTTAGCTCTCTTTGCTGCTCCACACAATGCTTTGGTGTATGTGTTTGTGTCTCATATGCTTATGTCTGTGTATTTGCATATGTTGTTGCTTCATTCCAGCTTAGGACCTCTATGCGAGGATCATAAAGAAGGCACAGAGCCAATCACATTGCAAAAACCTCTTCTTTTACCTGTTCATTGACCCCGGACCCTGTTCCCAGAGAAACCACTCTGTCCATTCTGCACAGTGACAAACAGGCACATCTAATCTGATATTGCATTATTGATGCCTGATCTTTCACGCGGCCCGGGCCGGGCCCTGTGTCTTCCACACCTCGTAATCAAGCATAATTGAGGTTAACTGTACGGCACGGCTGAAACGCTAGACAGGTAAGCCGCAGCCTCTCATGATTAATGTAGTGTGTTAGTGTTCTGGGCTCTGACCTTTTGAGATAGGCCAGGCACCATTTTTAAGTGAAAGCTCTGCCTCTGCCGAGTTGTGGAGTTGTCCATCAAGTCCTCCTCCACCCTCCACCCCGCCATCATCCCCCCTTCCAAAGTCAGATCCTTGTCTTGCTGCCTCATTGCCCCTGACCCATGTTTGTTTGCCTACATGTCTCGTTTTACAATGCAGAACCAAAACCTCTTTTTACCGGCCAGGTCCCTCTTTAGATTGGGATATGTTTTGGAGAGAAATTGTTAATGGGTATTGATCGAGCATGGCTCAGGAGAGAAAGAAGAGATTCCTGGTTTTTACTTGTTTTTGACCAATAAAGTGCTACTCTTTAGCTGCTTTGCTATATAATTCCTGTCTCCTGCTTAGACATTGCAAGTCAAACAATTTTTTTAAGGTCTAATTTGTCCATCCATGGGCTGTGTTCAGACCAGTGAAGGCCATTGTCCAGCCCCTGTTGGTCAACAACCTTGCCTCTCCTCTCCACAAGCCTCTGAGGATGGGAATTGGCAGCGAGGTCATGTCCTCGCCTTGCTCCCAAACATAAGCATTGTCAGAGTTAACTGAGCAAATTTACTTTTGACTCAAGCTCATTCAGACCCTCACACAAACACACAGAGGAAGAAAAAAAGATGAACTGTGAGCGTACAGAAAGACAGTCTTCCTTTCTGTAGGGTTTTGCAGGAGAATCAGAAGGTGTACTTCTTAATCAGGGATGGTGAGGACCCAGGTCACCGTCTGTAACATAGACCAGGGGCAGTAAATGGATGAGGAGGGGTGAAAGGGCACCCTCAGACATTCCTTTAGAAAATAAACAGAACAAAAGCAGGCTTCTCAGGTATTCCAATCTATCAAGTTGACTTTAGTTGTTGCTGTTTTCAGAGCTGATAAATGCATTTAATGCTAAGATTTGTCAAAGATACAGATACCATGAATACACATTAAAGTTTCTACTGCAGTTGAAATAATCGACAGGACAATGGTATCATTCTCACATTTCAAAAGCCCAGTTGAGAGTGAATTTAATGCAATTAGCAGGTTATCTGTGGTGAAGTGGAGGTGTCTCTCTTCCTGTTACCTTATGGTCTGACAGGAGGGAGGGATGACTTTCTGTAGGACCACAGAGGAGGAGACAGACAGATGCCCCGTTAGAGGGAGCATCCTGGTCTTTTGTTACACTATGGCTGGTTTGTTATCTGTCTCTGCTTAAACAGCAGCTGCTAAGTGCAACCAACCAAAAGACACATTTTTATTTATTTTCTTTACAGATTTAGTTCTTGTGTGCCAACTGATTTCAAACATTGTTACAAAACACAAAATTTTGTTTTTCCAAAATAAGTTTAATAAAACAGATCGCAGGACAAAAAAAAGCGGTGACCTCTAGCATTAAGGCACAAGCAAGTGTATTTAATGTTTGGGGCCTCCCCTGCCTTTGTGTTGAAGCCAGTGGTTCAATGAAAGGCGGCAGTAGGGGTCACTTCAGGCATCTGCTGCTCTCCTGCACCACTCATCTGTCCATCTGTGTACACCGCTGCCCTTCTGTCCACTCATGCACACTCACAGACACACAAATACATATAGAAAGAGACACTCCTTCACGTTGCGTGTAAATGCACATATATTGTAGACATGTTAGTCTGTCAAAGTGTTTTTATTCTACATCTGCTAAGTACAGAGAAGCGCCACCTTGCACTGGCCTATGTTCTTGGCTGGAGAAATGTGTCAAGCTTTATTATTGAGGGAACTACACTATCAGCAAACCATAGTCGTGGGAACTAGAAGAAACCAGAGAAGGAGAGACCCCTCTAGAGGCAAAAAAAGAGATTATGCTGTGAGGAGAGAAACAGTCACTGAAAAATAAATAAATTCTTGCTGGATTTCATCAGTAGCAGTTTAACAGTCTAGCAATGGCAACGTCCAATCTCCTCTTTTCTCTTCCTCTCTCTACATTAAAGTTGCATCCATTCAACAAATCAAAGCACAAGATCTGAGTCCTCACGATGAATTTTCTAATGCTCCTTAATGCCCGTTAAACAAATTTCTGCTTGCTGAGAGGTCCTCGCTCCTCGAAAGATCAGAGTGATTTATACCTTTCCTGTCGCTGATGAGGACATCACTGATAACGGAGAGGTTAAGTATGAGGAACATTTATGTCTCTATATGAGCCAAGATGTTTTTTTACATCTTGGAGAGGCTCCCGGGCTTTCCACTCAGAGCAACACCTAGTAGATCTTCACTTATGCAGCCTTACAGATCCCTAAAGAGGAGCCTGCACGCACAGATGTGGGGTGTCAAGACTATTTGTGTTTCTGATGAAAAGGACCCGTCTCTTTGCCGATTTCTTTTTGCTTAGACGAATATATTAGGACCGACTTTCAAATAAACACAACTCTCTCTGCCTCGGCGTGGAGTGGGGGGACAATAAGGCGGTTGTGATGAAGAACTTTATAGGAACATTTAACTTGAGAGTGAGGGATTGAAGCGGGTAAACAAAGCATTCCTTTCCCTTTCATCACCATTTAACTGTTCCCTTAACATTCAGCCTCACGTCCAGGCCAGTGCCCACCACACCGGGGAAGTTGTCAAATAAATATAAATCAAAAAGTTAAGGTTTATCCCAAAAGTTACCACGGCATTGCTTCAAATTGTGGACATTACAGTATCTAATCAGGAATCAGCTGCAAAGTCTCGTGGTGGTGCACATTACCTCCCATAGTGCACTTGTGAGCAGCAGGAATAGCATGGCTCCTAGCAGCACCCCGGCAATGGTGTACCAGACTTCTAGCCTGAAGGGCCATTTGGTTATACTCAGGGGAATGGTTGTTGTGTCAGTCATTTGCCGCGGCCACTAAAGAGTGCACTTAGCATCCTCTGTTTCCCCCTAGCAAACATGTGGGGAGTGACATGATACTGTACAAGAGCCTGGACAACATATAACATTTCAAAGCAATTTCCTAATTGTTTCCAGGCCAAGGTCGATAGCTTATATGGAAGCAATCCCTTCTTTCAAACTTTTTCATCCGCAGATTTCGAAACATTAAAGTGTTAAGTAAACTTGACCCAGGCAGGCTAATTCATTGGGAAATAGCTTGGGTTCCTACATTCTGTGCCATATCAGTGACAGTCAGTGAGTGGATTTCTGATGACTTGGATGGTCACCATATGTTTATATGGTTTTTGTGGCGCAATCCTGAGCCAGCCAGCCAGTGAATAATGACATTTGTTGTCTATAATGAGAGACTGTTTACAAAGGGGAGGAATTAGCTGGCATACCTGAAGGCAAAGGTAGATGTGCTCCATATGCACTGTGCACACTTATTGTGGGATTTCAGTGTTGATTGTTGCAAAAACCTAAGCTTAGAAAGTCTCTATATATGGAATAGTCTACAATTGCCATAATATTTGATCTTTTTTCTACTTTAAAGGTAATTTAGTATGATCTTAAACCAGGTGTAATTTGAGCATATTTAATCATCCAGGAAGAACAAAATATAATGATGCATGAGGAGACTATAGAAAGTAATTCAGGCCATCATCATTTAAAAAATACTATTAATGTAATGACTTTTTTCATGTAATGAATCCATTAATAAAAAGACAACATCTTGGCAATCTTATGCCCTCATAAGGAAATGCCCCACAATGGTCTTATTGGATTTCTGTGTTTTGGGGGGAAGTCAGACTCTCTTTAAAAACACATAAAATGAATGAAATGAATGCAAAAAAGGGTTGCATTAATCATCAGAAGTACCAGACTTTGTTTGGAATTTTATTTGTACAGTAATGGTGTGGAATATTATCCAGTAATATATGTATATAAATGATCTTATATATCATTGTAAAAGTTCTTTACACTCTAACTGAATGCACCTCAAAACTCAGATCCTATATGTAATTATGAGGTAGACATTAATAATGGTATTTTCCACCCTCTGCAAAAAAAATATTGAATACACCTTAAATTAATCTTATCAATGTAAGAAATATATGATTATCATGAAACTCTGTACATCACAAATAATAAAATAATTAGAATAGAAATTATACCGATTTGAGTGCATTTTGTATATTTACAAAGAAATGCCGTTTTGTCATTTCTTCATTCGTTGCACTTTGTAAAGTTTTCAACTGTACAAATATTTACAGCTCAAAAAAAATGAACAGCAGTGCATTCAAAGCTAATGTGCATTTAAATATCGTCTCCTTTGCGAGTCTTATTTTCATATATTTTCGTCATCAGAGAAGACAACTCTCTCGCTGACCGCATGTCCTTTGCGCATGTCAGTGGTGGAAGTGCATTTCGTAAAGATGCAGACTTTGAGCAAAAAGTTCGTGTGTGCTTTTTTTCTTTCTTTCTTTTTTTTTTTTTACAACAGGGCCCCAGTCTGGTTTTGTCTCCTTACTGTCCACATCTTCCAGTGCCTCTCAACTGGTCTCCAGTAAGGCAAAAATCTCTTGAAGGCATTGCCACCACCAAACTCCCTCTCCTCAGACCAGTCTGTGTGTGCGTGTGTGTGTGCGTGTGTGTGCGTGCGTGCGCGCGCGCGCGTGTGTGTCTGTGTGTGTGTGTCTGTGTTTGTTTGGTAGATTAGACATTCACCCCCTTTTTTGGAAAACAGGCACTTGCTCGGGCCTGTAATGACTCCAGCTGGACAGTGGCAATTACGGCCTGGATGCACATACCCAAAAGAGTCCGGCCTGGCTGGCAGGATCACACGGCAGAGCTGCAACAAAGCACTGACAGGCAAAGCCCACTGTCCTATGGTCTCGGCACGAACAGGTGCACAGTCGGACTCAATAGGCTCCCATCTCGCCTTGTACTCATTCCTTGTGCCATATGGACACTTCTCCCTCTCTGGGAAACAGAAGCCGGTTTGATGTGTGGTGACCTCTTGCATGGATGGGCATGAAGGCATAACACTTTAAGGCATAGAGTGTGAATAACTGTGACTGTACTGAGTCTGAATAAATAGCAGATTCTGCCTTTGTGTGCATCCCTTTTGAATAAAGACAAGGCGCGTCATGCGTCAAAGCATTCAGACCTGTGAGGACTTCAACCTGGGACCCATCAAGACTTATCTTTGATTTTTCTGTCTTTTAAAGTTTATTTTTTGTATGCATAAGGGCCGCTACCTGCACCCACACTGCTCCACCACCATGTCCTCGTACTGTTTGTACACCACGTTATTGCCTGAGTCTATGTACAGGATGCTGATGGGGCTGAGTTTGGTGGGGACGCAGCAGCTAGGCGGGGTGCTGTTTGGGTCCATAGAGTTCATGAGAGTCTGTATGATGGCGTGGTTGGTCGGCTCGAGGTGCGACCTCAGGGGGAAGTCACACACACCCTCGCAGTGGTACGCCTCGTAATCCAGGGGCGCGATGATCCAGTCGTCCCAACCCAGCTCTTTGAAATTCACATGCAGCGCCTTTTTGCTGCATCTGGATTTTGATTTCTTCCCGTGCCTCTTCCCGTGCCGGTTGCTCAGCGCGGTCCTCCGCCGCCGCCGAGGCCCCTCGCCTTTTACCCCCCTCAGCGAAACCCCCTCCTCCGTGGCTGCCTTCACCACCGCCTCCTCCTTCTCGCCAACCGACCTCCGCGACTTGATCTTCTCCTTCATCTCGTTGAACAGGTTCTCCCTTTTCTTGGAGCGGGTGTACGCCACCAGGATGGCCTTCTCCCGCTGGGACCGGCTGCTCCTGTCCAGCCCCAGCTGCCTCAGGTCCACTTCGGTGTCTGATTTGCCGAGAGTGACGCGGAGCTGGAGGCAGAGCTGGTTCCCCTGCTGATGGTGATGGTGGGGGTGATGGTAATGACGCTGGTGTGCTTTGAACATTTCCCACACGTCCAAAACCTCCCAGCCGCTCTTGGTGGAGTCCAGCGGGTCCAGAGACCTGGAGTCCAGCAGTTTGTCCGAGCGGCAGGGGTAGAGCTGGATATCGTACAGACCCGTCGTCTGCAGGGAAGTCTGCAAATCCCCGGGCGCTCTCCTAAATATCCTTAATTCTGCCCCGACCAGCTCCTCTTTGTCTGAAAGGGTTGAGACATCAAACAGATACCTTTGTCTTCGCAGAGGAGAGTGCAAAAGATCGTCTGCAAGGATAAAAGAAGAAAATAATTGCAGTCAGATTCACTTAGGGTGTACAGTGTTCAGAAGGATTGAGGGAGCGGGGGGGGGGGTTCACATTCTCCCACAGAGGCCCTCTCTCTCTCTCTCTCTCTCTCTCTCTCTCTCTCTCTCTCTCTCTCCCCCTTTCTTGTTTTTCAAATGTCCACCCTGAACCTGCCTGAAACAAAGTACAGCTGACAAGTCCTCAGTTTGGGTGAGAGTATATAAACTTACAGTTTATTATCGGTAAAAAAAAAACCCAAAAAAACAACTATGGTGGACTATGACTATGTCATATGTATAAAACCTCTAAGTTATTTTGATTTGATTCCATCCAAACACAGCTCTCCTGATAATAAAATCTGGTGTATCTTTCATAATGATAAAGACTGAATGGGGGTTAAGTTTGCAAACCCTGCTTTATGACTGCCTCCCTAAAATTGCGGTTCCTCGAGTTTCTTAATTTCATTTCATGCACATGAACAATTTGAAATGATATTGGGATGAAAAGCACACAAACTCCATTGCATATCCAGGAAGAAGCATCTAATCTCGCTTGCACCCCTCAAAACAAAATTGTTTTATGTATTAATTACTAATCACCCATCATCATAGGGCCAAATTTCGTTTCAGACATTGCAGTGACAATAATCCAATAAAAATCTGGCGAAAATGTAATGTCAGTCCACTTATAATCAAAGCCAGCATGTTTTTTAATGAAAATAGCTGCTGCTTTCATTTCACTTGATGACAGATTATTAATTTCCAGCTCCTTGACAGAGTGGAAGTAAACTTTTCCTTCTTTACAGTCTTAAAATTTCTTAAGTCTAAGCAGCAGTCAGAACATCAGAAGTGTGGTTAGTTTTCTTTTTTTCTGAACTCTTGCAGAGTTGTAAAGCAAAGACAGGAAGAAAAAAAACAACAACAAGGGGCCTAGTGATGTGAAGGCCCCTGGGTGCTGCCAGACACAACGGACCAAAGGCGACATACTGTACACTCAACTGAACAATGCACAATTAATGCATTATTCCCTGCTGGAGACCCAGGAGGCCTGCAAATATTCCATCTAGGCGAACCAATGAGACTGGAATACAACAATGCATGAAAAGCGTTAGAGTTTTTTTAAATGGTAAAAATATCTGCATTTAACAAAAAGGAATTCAGCCTGAGTGTTTTTTTTAATACATTTAGGATCGGAATTATTTCTGTTTAGCATAATTATCAGTTATTATCACGCACATACTTACAATTAAATCTTTCTTGGTTTTATTCTTTTTTTGTACCATTTTCCGTTTATATCTTTTGTTCTTATAAAAAGAGAAAACATTCCGCAAATAGGGGTGAACACGACATTACCACATTGACATTTTCCCTGCAGCCAAATGCAGAATACGGGCAGAAATGAGCAAGAAAATTACATTAAATCGAGAGAAGTCTTTAAACACATTGATTTACCATGGGGTGGGTGAGCAATGACTTTCTTTTTAAATGTCAAATGTGTCCACTTGTTTAGAAACTTTTGGTTTTAAACCTCAAAGCAGAATTAAATTTCTTGTTGAGATGGCTGATTTGTTGTCTCTTTAAAAAAAAAAAGAAAGAAATTAAAGCGTGTTGCGTCGGCTCCATTTCTGCCTGAGCGTGTTCTTTAAAAATAAAATTGACATGCCCACATCTAAACACTCCTGGGGTGTGATTTGTAAAACTCGTTCTAAAGAGATATTTGAATCTAGCTGTCACTCTTCCTCCGTGAACCCTGCCGAGTCAAACAATAAAAGCAGATTGAAACCTTGTGCTCCTTTCAGTGACTTTGCGCGTATGGTCTGCATTAGGATTCTTTTTTTTATAAGACCTCAAACAAATCGAATACAAGCTCACCAAATAATTAACAGTTCTGAATTCCCAACTTCCTCATTAAAGCACTTCCCCTCTTATATTTCATCCCATCCTGCCAACGACAACATTCCCCTTAAAACGTGCCTGCACGGGCTGACTGACTGACTGAACACACTGTTGGAATTATTGAGATATTCGTGTTGACAGTTAAAAAACGTAGAGACTTTTCTTAATTTCATTGTTATGTCAAAAGCCATTTTTTCCATTATGCGTAAGATGCTTGACGGTAGATAATTGGGGGAGAATGGGGCGGATTTTATTGCTTGGTTAAAACGGCATCCTGTGCACTTTTGTTTGACCTTGCTGCTTGTATTTGAACAAATGCAAAACATGTTTTTGTCATCTATGCCTCTGTTTAGAGAGAGAGATTGAGAGAGAGAGAGAGAGAGAGAGAGAGAGAGAGAGAGAGCTGCACCATCTGCGCTTTAATGAGTTACCCCAAGTGCCAAAAGTAATTTTCAGATTCGGGTTATTCTTTTCTGATCTTGCCTTTTCTGACCTCCAGGAAACACCCCGCCTGGTTTTATAAGCACATTTCATCTACCTACAAACGTGTGAACGCCAAAGAAGCCGTGGATCATAGGTGCACTCAGTAAAACCTGTCTCTGCATGGATGAATAATGCGTAAAAGACGCAAAACCTGTTAACTTTACGCGTCAAAAGCAAGCTGCCTCAGTGTGTATTTATTTCCTGACGGAGACGATTTGAATAACGAAAACTCCCAGCTGAGGTTCACTCTGCAGGTTAATGCAATGCAACACTTTGGAGATGCTGGGAGGAATCCCAAAAGAAACCAAAGGCGCTTGAGCTGAAAGAACGGGAAGAAAAATAATTTTCCGTAATTAAAGTGGCGGTCGCTAAGGGAGGTTCCGCAGTAAAAGAAATACGAACCACTTCACAGCCGAGGAAGTGCTCTTTCATTTTTTTTTTCCCTTCGTCGTTTTTTGGTGATGTGCCCATCGTGGCCGAGCTGGGTCATTATGGGAGAATAGACAGTGTTTGATATGTTATGACATGAACACTCAATTAGATCACCGAGTTCAAATACTCGAATCAGCCGTTCGATGCCAAGCAGCTCTCAGAGGGTCCAGCTCGGGGTCAGAGCCAGTGACACATCACATCAAAATCAAAGGAGAAACTGAGGCGGTTTTATATCAAATCAGTTCACACTGCAAGAAATTGCCACACGGACGAGCCTTTTAGCTTCAGATTCATCCTCTTTTGTCTAAAAGAGAGCAGTTGTGTGAGATAGCACCACGCATGTTCAATGCAGTTATTTTATTTTTTTTAGTAAAATTAACAAATACGTTTTTTTATTTACATTTTATTGAACATAAGTCTTTAAAAAGTTGATTTGCACTAGAAATACTTGAGGCTCAACAAGTAGGTAGATAATACTTTGATTTAAGCAGCCGACTCTGGACTAAATAACTCGTAATGATTGATATTTTTTGCAGCGCGCAGATGAGGCTCAGAGTGTTTCAGACAGGAGGGGAGCGCAAACAAAGATAGCTTTTATTTCTCCTGCAAAGATTAACTCGGCTTATGTCCCCTTGTGTGCGTTGGATGTGTTTGTGTTTATCAGAGTCTGTTTGTCCTCTCAGGCTGGTCAAATCACTTGGTTACACATGTTAACTGACCCAAACACCTGCTTCTCACACAGAGCCGCTCTGCCATGGCCCCCAGCTTCCTTTGTCAGCACAAGTTGGCCGAACTGGGCACGATAATGGCAACACATTTTTTATAACATGTGCCGGATTTCGCGGTTTAAACTTAGTTTGTGGTTTAAATCGTCAGTCTCTGCTTTAAATCGTCGGGCTTATTTAATATTGTTTGCGTTTGGAGATTAATAGGGAAAATCGAAAATGAACAACCGAGTGCTCTCATATAACTGAAAGAAAAGTTTCCTCTGTATTGAGAACTTTTTTTTGCTGCAACCTGCACTGCAGTGATTTACAGCCTTCATTTAGAGTGTTTTACTGTCCTGTTACCCAGAGGTTAATTTAAGTGTAATATAACTTAATACTCGAAAAAAGCACATGTTTCAGCGACTTTCCAGCAACTAGATCCGAATACAATCACTAAACTGTTCCTGAATAACATACAATCATGCAGCTTTCAACACTTATTCTTGTGATTCATTGATATTTTAAAATTTGCATTTGCACATATTTTTCCCCTGGTCTAAACTGTGCGTAAAAGTTGCTGCTGCGAGCTTGTTTTTCTGTAGTTTTCTTGATTTACTGTAGTCTTTAGCCACATTTCATTCAGATCTATACAAGAGGAGAATATTAGACCCGTCAGTTGAGGAAAAGCTGTGCCACAGAATTATGCAAGACTGAGCTGGAACTGAACTGGTGGAGCTGGCAGCGGACGTCAACCAACCTGTTCCCCTGTCCACAAAACTTGTTATTGTGTTGGCAGATTTAGAGGAGCGGAAAAAGCTAGCGTTTAGTCCGAGCTTCTCTGCAGTCGAGTATGTCCTGTATATAGAGAGCATGTAGTCATGCGGCACAATTGCGTCCTTTGGGTCTTCTTTATGATGGCCCACCATAGGATGCGAAGACGCAAAGATGTCTTTTAGGAATTTAGACGACCTTTGTCCGTCCTGATGAGAGACCCTGGCTCCCTTGTTTCTCCTCGGCGCAGAGGGAGAGATGATAGCAGCAGACTGGAAACACGGTATATTCCCAAGGAAAACAAGGAGCAGGCCCACATATAGCGTAACGAGTCGAGATGCGTCCATGGCTGGAAGAGTCACCGGGAGATGTTAAGAAGCTCTTTATTTCCCGCGCAGTGAAGTTGGATTCTGGGGGCCGCCGGGAGTCAGAGATGGTGTGCGCGTCAGGGTCGGAGGACTGCTACTTTTGCGCTCTCCGGTCGCACCAGAAGAAGTGCGTTTTGCGCTCTGGACTCGACACAAGAGCGGAGACTGTTGGGCCGAGAGAAACACGCCCACATGGTCGCTCAGTGCAGGGCTTCCCAAACAATTTTAATGTCACAGACCTCCAAACAGACGCGCAGTAGAGCCAACGGACCGCCACAAGATACAAACACGAGAGCCCATGTGTGGAAGCTTTTGTTGATGGTGATCCACAGTCCACAATGTCCATAGAGAATACTGGTTTACTTTATTAAGGAGGTCAATGACTTAAATTATGATATTAATGTGTTACTCAAATTGCAATAAATAACACTATTTTCTTTTTTGTCTATTTTGATCCTTTCTCAATGACTTATTTTAGACACAGGTTTAGACTCAAAGCACACATGTCTGAGCAGCAAAGATATGTCCGTCACCACCAAGTTTATAAAGGTGAAGAAAGTAGATGTAGGTCCACACAGTTTTCAGAGAAAAAAAAAAACTAAAACAGAGTTTTAGGGCTCTTTATCACAAAGTCTTTGGAGCTTCCAAGGACACGTCAGATCAGATCAGATTAGATTAGATTAGATTAAATTAGATTAGATTTTACGCACAGAGAGGCTAAAGACTGTGTGCACTGTGTGCACAAGGGGATCATAAAGCAGTGTCTTTTTTAAAAGAAACATCATGAATTTTGCAACTGTGTTTCACACGTTATTTACTGGAAGATGTTCTTAAATTATACGAAATGAATAATAAAACAAGGAAGGCGGAGTTTCAGTATTTGATTTTGTGTTGAGTGGGTGACATTTGAAGAGTAGCGAATCAACTCCCCAGAAACAGGCAAATGGTTAAATACGCTGAGGGCAGAGGTCTCGTGCATTTAAATGTAACCTAGAGGTGTGTGATCACAGTAAACCCAAAATATTCAGCCTTGGTGTGGAGTCGTTCAAACGCTTCAGACACATTTTAAACAACACCAGTGACCTCTAGTGGTCATTCCATTTTATTACAACCCGACGCTTCCCACATATAAAGAAACGAGGGCAAATGCTGCATTCACGTCATCTAGGAAACTCTGCTTGTATAACTTTGTGCTGCACATTGTAGGGCAGTGACCTACCGTTCAAGTGGTTTTTAAAATCTTAAAATCGTATATTAGTCCTGATCAGCTTTCACACATGGACTTAAACATCAGTTTTTTTGTTTGACGCCATCAGGGTTCATCGCAGAATTCAAAGGTTCAAATGCAGTAGCCAAAGACAGAATATTGTGTCTCCACGTTACCTGGATCACCAGAAAGATACAAATGCCACCATCAGAGCCAAACACGAGTTCACAGTTTACAGATGTGTAATTTATGTGTGCATCTAACCTCATTTAGTATTGGAGTCAGGAGGGATGTGTTTCCACATAGAAATACTGACTCTTTAAAGTAACTACACCTTCCTTGCCACATTAAATAATATTGTGCTGCCTACAGTCCTTTGCCATGTGTGCACATTATTTTGTCGGTTATTTTTTTTACATGGACAGCTTTTTGTCTGATCTCCTATTAACCTCAGGGCCAACATGTCAAACGGAATTGTCATGTTGTTGTGCACATTGAAATGTTTCAAGTTTGACTTATTATTGACTGCAAATGATAATACTCTCATGAACCTGAGAATTGTGTGATTGGTAGTGATTCAGGTCGTAGTGACGAGGAGTTAGGTTAACATGCAGCCCACTGTGTGGCATCATCTTGTTCCAGCAGAGGGCCTCATTGATAAGAAGACAGACTGCTGCTCATGGGTCACATGCTAACATTTGACTCAGCACCACTCAGTTGACACCGTCGTAATGATGAACACCTGTGTGTGTGTGTGTGTGTGTGTGTGCGTGTGTGCGTGCGTGTTGCCTGTGCACACCAGCATTACCGCATGGCCAACACGTTATTTCATAGAGATACGTGACACCGTTTGATTCATCTGGGCTACAACGAGTGTCAGCCGGGTTTCTGCACTAATTCCCCCACTTGATTCAGTGGCGCAGTTGCTCGGGCAAACATTATGGTGTTTTACATCACAGAATCTGCATATGAATGGATATAATTAGGAACAGGAGCCGCGCCTACCTCCCTCATTTCAGCACCATGGAGAGCAAACTCGCTCTTACTCTGACTGTATTGGGCATAATGCGCATAGTGCACAGAGACCTCCTGCGCGTGTTGAACATATGCAAGGCCTATATGTAATATAACGTGAGTCACTCAGACAGCAACATAGCCTTGAGGGAATATTACATTCCAAAACCATGTAAGAGCCTTCAAGCCTCATCAAAGGAGCAAATGTTTTAGATTCAGACAAATATTCTAAAATATTAAATTAACTTTATACTAGAATGTGCATTTATGAATAATGAATCGAGGCATGTGTCAGATGTAAAAAAAATAAATAAATAAAAAACTGCACTCTTAAAGGAAACATGGCAACAGACATCAAACGTCAGCACGCATAGCCTACATATTATACAGCAGTCTGCCAGAAGCTTATGGCTCTTTGTGATGGAGGGGAGTCAGTGGTTAAGTAATGCCTCACGCATTATGTAACTCACTTGGGATGGTAGTCATATTGTGCGTGCACCGTCAGTGGTTTCGCTTCTTGTCCAATCGTGTGTGTCCTCAGTCTGCACACAGCTCTCCTCCACCCGACACACGAACAGCAGAGCGGAGGCTGGCACCGCCGGAGCACCAGTAGCGGAACGACCCTTTGTGCTTCACCGCCTGACGCGCATCCTTCTGAGAGGAACCACCATCAGACATCCAGGCAAGCCTTTCATTTTATTTAATTTCACGAAACATCCATTTTAGACCAGCCCATTACTGCCATCAGCTTATAAAAAACAACAACAAATGAAAGTATTCACAGGATGGGGGCAGGTGGTGCTGAAGAGGAGCTGTTTACAAGTTCGGTGATGAGTCTTTTGTCAAGTCATCCAAATGTGCGTACACGTCATGCGTGTTTTGGGTGGTGCTGGGTGAAATGTGGACACGTTAGGTCCGAAGTTGGATGTTTACATCACTATTGCTTACACTCTATGTCGTACTTGGCGTATCTTTATTCTAGAGGCATCGAAAGAAGAAAAACAAAACATTCCCAGCAACTGAAGGGGCGCCAGATGAAACTAAATAAAATATAAATCAAGCCATTTGGAGGCGGTGCGAGAGAAAATGCTGTCATTATTAAGGGATATCAGGACACACAAAATCTCCTAAGCCTTTAGAAACAATGGAAATGGCTTTGAAGTGTGGTGTGGAAAACAAAGGGGGCATGTAAACATGAAAACACATGGGGGGGCATTTTCAAGGGCCACTTGGTTACAGCAGTTGTTCTGTTTGATGACTGATATTCTTAAAAATTGTTACATTTAGTTTATTATGAAAATTGTATGTATTTTTTGAAAGGGTACCATAAAGTCCTATGTGGAACCATATGGTGCAACAAAACAGAATGATTATTTTAGCAGGGCTTAACAGCCAGCTGTGATTTTCTACATGATACATGCCTAATAAACATCTTCTGTACCATCAACATTTTGTGAATTCTGGATTCATTACTGCTTGGCATAATAATAGTAAACTCCAGCGTTTGGACATAGATGTTCAGTTAAGCTCACACCTTTCAAAACTGTACAAAGGCTCATCAGTGTGCATCAAATGTCATCACTAATATTAAGTCCACACCTCATTAATATTCACATCAACAGAACAAATGGACAGAGTGCATCATGGGATAAATATGAAAATGGAATAAACAGCTTGACATTAGTCTAGGTGCACCATTAAAATCAGAACCATATAGACTTGGAGGGATTAAGGGAATTTATTATTCACGCCCATTCCATGCTGTTTTTCAAGTAGACCATCTGGATAAGGGAAATAGCTTCAGTGGAAGCTTAAAGACTTGTTTACCAGTCTTGTACACATTATCTCAGCATCCCACTGACAGCTTCCTGTAAGTCTTCCTTTCCCATCCACTTCATACATCCACTTCATAAATTAGGGCACTCTTTTGTTTGGATGAGTTTTTGGAATGATTGTGTGTCGCTTACGCAGGCAGTTTGGTTGTTCGCCACGCTTAAGAGGGCTGAAAATCCTGTGTTTGCATCTTAGATAATGCTTAGCCTGTCGCTCAGTAGGTAACCAATCAACATTGTCTGGAGTCAAGCAGCGGATCCGGGTGGAGGGACCGAATGTATAATCCTACAGGCAGCTATAGCTCAGGACAGGAACAAGAGAAAGCACTATGGACACAGGCAAAATGTCGACACAGTTGAGATCTAAAATCTAACTATGGCAGCAGAGCATCCATGGACAGGCGTCTGTGTCCATACACCTCGCAGGGTTTCAGGTTACAAGCTCTTGAGTGGTCATTAGTAAAGGAACAGAGTGCTGGAAAAAATAATATGATATGATTCTAAAACGGTTTAATGGTTTGTCTTCAGGATGCAAAAATCAGCTTATTTCTGACTCTTTATCGTTCATACCCTCCTGCATAATTCCTTCATATGGCTGCTTGTAGTTTGCATGAATTTATAAATGTCACTTCCTAAGCCAAAGACCTACGCACCTCTCTGCTCTCAACCATGTCCTGTTTATTGAATTATTTCCTATTCATTCGCTTCAGTGCTTATTTCTTTTCTAGCACTTTATTATTGTGCACAAGGAGGATTTTTTAAACATTCATAATCATGGCTTTATGGCTTATGCTCTTTTTGTCTATACCTTTACTTTGTTTTCTTTGTTTTAGATTGTAAACATTTGATCTATTGCACTCCTCATGAGCGGCAAGGTATATGTACACACGCACACGCTGGCTCCAGGACAGCATGTCCATTCAGTCTGAAGAGAACACAGCTGAATGGTGAACACCCCTACACACCACCTCGGCACACTCTAGATATTTTCTCTCAGTGAATGGCAGCATATCAGGATGAGCGGCAGAAGGCTACACTTTGTGAGATTTACACATAATTGGCCCCATCTAAGCTGGAGTCGTTCGAGCAGCTCTTTTCCCGTGGTTGCTAAGACTGTTGCTAGGGCACGGCTCTGGTCGCTCTGCCCTGCTCGGTGCCTATAATCCGATTTTGCTTTGCCAGTGTGCCAGGCAGCTGTGCATTGCTACAGTTGGATGATACTGTGGATGCCTGAAAATACAAGTGAGACTGTAGGTAAGGTTGCACTAGGCCACCCAGAACGCAATTCTATTTTTGAGTCT